TCAATCCTTTTTCCCAACAAAGAAAAAAAAACTGCTTCAACAGATGAGGTAAAGGTGCGGATCATTCCAGCTGCTAGATACTCATTTTTGCATTTTTCCAGACTCTCTCTCAGGCTTGCACAAATTATACAACATTGTGGAGGGGAGGGGATCTCCAGGAAGTAACTCAATAGCACAGTCATATGGGGGGAAAGAGAGGGCCTTAGACTTACTGAAAACCAGATGAAGGTCATGATACTCAGGTGGAACCAGGGAGGGGTCTACTGCAGTTTCCTGTTCTTGAGAATTTAAGACTGGAGACACGACCGCCTGTAGACAGTTTGACAGACTGTGGTTACGCCACAACTGAACCCTATTGTCTTTCGAGTTCAGGTGAGGTGTATGAAGGGTGAGCTAAGAGTACCCTAAAACAATGGGAGATTGGGATGAAGAACACAGGGAAAAAAATAATTTCTTCCTAATGATTGTCTGAGACCAGAAGTTGTACTGGTTCCATTTGGTGCGTGGTTACATGCAGAGGACTTCCATCTAGAGCTTGGACATAAAGTGGTTCAGGTAGGCACACAACAGTAAGTAGTATTTGTTAAGCTAAATTTTTATCATGAGACTTTGTTCGCAACCAGAATCAAATAAAGAAAAAGAGAGAAATGGTTGATTCAGTTGAAGAGAGATGGGTATTGTCATGCTGAAGGATGTGTTCTTAAAACTGCCCACTGGTCCCTTCTTTACCTGTGGGCCCTCCCTTTTAGCTGCTTTGAGCAGGAACACATGAAGTAAACACTCTCATAGCAGTACAAGCAGACTCCAGTTTTCATCCGACGTTGTTGTTCCTCAGGTGACACCGGGTAAGACCAATCTGCATCGGCTCCTCTCGATCTGGCCTGTAAGAGTCTGAACTTTGTGAAACACCTGGAAGATGAGATTGGGGAAGAAGTAAATTAATCTTGTTTCTCCCAAGTTCTCCCAAAATCTGTTGTTAATGCAAATATCCAGGGAGATTAGTTCTTCTAGAGTTTTAGATCCCTCTCTGCACACTAGTTCATCCTTAATTATTTTATCCAAGGCTTGAAGAAAAGCTCCCTTTAAAGCTTGAGGGTTCCAGGCTGAAGAGGCTGCTAGTGTTTGAAATTAAATTGCAAAGTCTGATACTGGTTGGCTACCCTGTTTTGAATTCCATATCTTAGGGGAAATGTTAGAAACTGACTCAGTATATCCAAATTTATGTTTGAACTCCAAGATAAACTGGTCAAAGCAAAAATGGAATTGAAACTCACACCCAAATCTTGCTTCAGCCCACTGCAGGGCTCGACCTCTCAATACTCTGATCACAAATGAGATTTTATCCTTTAAAAAAAGACCTGGGGGATCGCCTGAAAACTAGTAAACATTGTAAAAGGATTCCACAACACCTCCCCATTTCACCCACATAAGGCTTGGCTAAATAAAAATAAGAATTTGCAGGAGGAGTTGGTTCAGGAACGGGGGCTGTGCCAGCTCTAGAGGGGGTAGACTCTGCGGGAGTGGTTCTGTTAAGCAGCTCCAGAAACATTTCTGTAAACTGCTCCATCTGCTGATCTGAATGTCTTTGCTGTTGAGCCACCTGAGTGCAAGAACCTGAGGGATATTCTGCTGGGTCAGACTGGCCAGAAGATTCTGTCATGTCAGTTAACATTATTTTTCTCTTTTTTTACCCACATGCAGAATCACACGAGGAGATCTTATGGATCCAAGGCGCTTCCATGAAGAAAACCCTAGAATGGAACTCAGCACCTTCCTGATGCAGGGGAAACCTCCCTTCCGTATCAAGCAGTAGTTACTTCCAGCAACCATTTATCTAATCTAACTTGTCTTATTCTAGCCAGGTTTGGCTTTCAGATTATAGGAGGTCGACAGTGTGAAACAGTAGATACTGTATGTCAGATTAGTATCACAACCAATTAAAATCTATTCAAATACCTCCCTGTCTTTGCAGCTCCCCTTTGTTTGTTGAAAAAAACCCTGAGCTCACATTTAAATGTATCTGTCTTTATTAAGTGTATTTATCTGTGACCAATTGTGTGCAGGATGTACCTCATTAGGGTTGCAAATATAAAAGAATTCATTATCTTATTAAAGGCATTTAAATTTTAAACAAAGGTACACAAACTGGTACAGATTAACACCAATAAATCCCTAAACAACGGCCCTTTAATGCATCCTACATTTATTTTTTAGGTTTTATTTACTCCCAGCTTTATGTCACATTAAATAGCACAGCTGATAAAGACATTGTGGACCTTCTGAAACAGTTGCAGTTTTGCTGATAACTCCATATAAGATGTGACCTTTAAGATTACATTATATTGTGACTAAGTAATTTAAACGAGCTGATTTGTAAATGTAAATCCCTTTATTGTCCAAAAATGGGGAAATTTACTCTCTGCATTTTGATCCATCCCCTTGGGGAGCAGTGGGCTGCCATTGTGTGGTGTGGTGTGGAGCAGTGTTAAGTGTTTTGCTCGGGATCGAACCGGGTACTTGCAACCTTCTCAGAGCACAAGTACACTGCTCCAACAAGTAGGCCAACACTCCCCCAAAGATTTCTATGTTAATCACTAATTATACTGTGATGCAGGGTTACAGACTCTGGTGATTCGCAAAATTTGCACTACCTTTAAAAACTCAATGTATGGTAGAGCTGTATTATTGTTAAAATATGTGAAATATTGTAGACAAAAAGTTGAAGTAAAGCAAACTTCAAAGGATAAAGAGTTACAATAATCAAACTGCACTTGGATAAATAGCTAAATTTCCATTAAAATCAATGATAATCGGTCTTCAAGTCTCACCACGCATTTTAAATTTGATTACAATTCATCTTCGATTGGCCATTCAAACTCATTGATATGCTTTGATCTCAGCCTTACCATTGTTTCTAGGCAACAAATGTCATTTTATCCTCAAAGGTGAGCCTCTGTCCCAATCCAAAGATATAGAAAACCTCTGACAGTTTTTTTTGTTGTCTGTTTTATCAAGCATGACAATGTATGTTCTCTCTATCTTCGCATCTACTCAAACCAGCAAACTTGTCAGAGAGGGGAAGAATACCTCTCAAAGTCTCAAAGTTTGGATGATATCTTTGATGATGTGTAATTATGTGTGTGAAAAAACAGCTTGTGCTGATCATTGCAAGTGTGAATTTAAACCTTTATACTTTATGATGATTAGTATGATAACAGTTACTCTTTTTTTTTTTAAGATTAAGGAGATAGCCTAAAGAAACTGCCCTGAGTTTTAAGTTTTTATGGTTTTGAAAAGTTAAGAGGCCATTAATAATTTTTTTGGAGTGTTTGAAGGTAGGAATTTTCTAGGCTGAGAATGTGGTTATAGATAATGACAGGGATATTGTGACCTGACATGAGTTATTATCGATCATGAAAAATAAGCAATTTTTTTAAACCTGAATTCCTTTGTGATCTGATATTAGCTGTTCTTTCAATTGTTTTCATCTATAAATCTATATTTCTTAACTGGTAAAGAAAAGATTCCTCTCTGTGGGCCTGGAGAAGAACACACATAGAGAGTTTCCAGTTTTTAGATTCAAGATTAATCCTTTTTTTTTTTTAAAGCCAATGAAAAACATCCATCCATTATCCATCACGCTGGCTGTCTACGGGCGAGAGGCAGGGTACACCCTGGACAGGTCACCGGTCCATCACAGGGCAACATAGAGACAAACAATACAAACAACCTTTATCCATAATCCAGTTTTACTTTAAGTGCATATTTATGTCATGCTCCAGCTTGGACATCTCAATAAATGCAAAAAAAAAAAAAAGCAAAAAGAAAACAAGAAATCTACCTAGACTGCAGTTCAGTTATTTAAGAAAAAACAGCAATCTATCTACCAAAACACACGGCTTTACTGCCACTCCTGCCAGCTTACTGCTGTGACACCAATGACAGTTTCTTTGACTGTCAGAATCAGTAACTACAGTAAACAACTGTTAGGAAGCTGAACTGAAATACTTTTATTTTTATAGCTAAATGTCTTTAATCCAATCAATTATTTTAGGTAGGATTGTGAAAATTTTTGAAGAAAAACATAAAATTGACCCTAAAAATAAGGAGTTGGATTCAAATAAAGATAAAGAATACTTAAAAGAAGTTAAAATTGACTAGATTTTGTTTTAAATAACATCTATTAGAATATGTTGCAGTATGTATTTATTAATGCTCTTAGTTTCAGTTGTGAAAACTTCCTTTCATATAAGCTTAATGACAAAGAGAAGCACATTAAAAAGATCATTTCAAACCATGGTATTTGATCTATTTCTGATAACAGTCCTTAAATAATTGAACAGCGCCCTCTGGAGTAATAACATTTTATAGGATCAAATGCAAAACCTGAAAAAGGAAACACAATCAATTCTCCAGCAACATTGCCAAGAATAAGACTGCTGATTGTCGTGTTTTATTATGTATTCATCTGCTTGTTCAACATTTTAAGGAAAATTAAAATTAGTTTTATTAGGTGCTATCATCTTTACTGTTTTGTAGGACTATTAGACTAAACATATTAATTCTAAGAATGCTGGAAGTACCCATTTAAATTCCATAGACCTCCAAGATTGCTGCAAGCTGCGCATTACTAAGGGGTGGATTAAATGCAGACGGTGAATTTCGTTGTTAAGTGACCTACATCTGCAATGACTAATAAAACTGATTCTCCGTGTTCAGTAAAGCAAACGTGACAGGTCATATTGTTTTATTCTGCATCACTGAAGCAAACAACCCTGTGTTTCGAGCTGCTGCTGTTTGACAGAAGATGGGCGTTGCCTGTCAAACAAATACTCAACTTTTACACTGACACGCCTCCAGAATAAAAGCACTACTTCCTCTCAAGCAAACTTGTTAAAATTCTCCATTAAAAAGGGTTTGATCCACAGGGTCCCATATCCTCTGTTTTCATTGGACAGATCCTCTGCCAATCAGCTACATCCCTGAGTGACGTCAGCAGTAACAGTAGCGCCACACCGGGGCTGTGGAGTGGGAGACGAAGAGCGACTCGGTTCCCCTGGAAAAAATTAAAGGAGCGAGAAAATGGAAAAAGTGTCCATTTAGTTGTCAGTTATCTATTTACGCATCTCGAGGGGTTTATGCCACCGTGGTCCTTTAAGAAAGCCTGAGGCTAAAGGCATGGCGGCTATCTGTCAGTCCAGACAGTTTTTTTTTTAGGGATGGCTTCCTTAGCTAGCCTTCCCAGCTAACAGTAACTAGCCTGCCCTGCTTACTGGGTTCCAGTGTGGAAGAGATATCAGCATCAGCCCTAAGCTCTCGTTTGGATTTTCCCCAGGCCTGTTGTCCGAGGAGCAGGAGAAAGTGAGGCAAGTTGCCTGGATGGACAGTTTGCCAGCGGTTAATTGACACAGCTCGGGCGTATCTTCCAGGGTAGGTTTTTCTGGGCGGCTAGGCTTGTACTCGGCCAGGCGACCAGCAGAGGGGATCGTACAGATGTGGCCCAGGCAGCCTGTTGTGTCCCACCGCTTCTGGGACTGAAGTTGATTTTTTGCTTCTTTTTTTTTTTTTTTTTAGCTTTTTTTTTTTCAAATTGGCCAAATTGTTAAAGACAGTTTACACTGAGGCGAATTTGATAACTCGTTTCGCACGTCAGGAGCTAGCTAGTTTTCCAGGCTAGCCTGTTCAGTTAACGCACCCAAACTCAGCTCAATTTGAAGAGTGCATCAATATTCAAACGGTTAATCGTACATCTTGAGGCATCTTAATCCCATATACCATTGCAGCTATTTTTTTGTGATTCATTCATTGTGAACTTCATATTTTTGCCCAGGCAAAGCTGTCAAATATTAAACATTTGGGAGCTATTTTAACAGCAGCCGAGGAGGCCAGATTCTGCAGCAAGACTGTCACATAGAAAGTGGAGCCTTGCACTCAGATAGTTTTCGTGGTGGTGTAGCCCAGCGCTGCTTGTTTGACGTGCTCCCCCCCCCTGCTCATGCGGTGATGACTTTGGAGCCCATGATGGCTTGTTGCCTGAGTGAGGAGGCGAAGGAGTCCAAGCGAATCAACGCTGAGATCGAAAAGCAACTCCGGCGGGATAAGAGAGACTCGCGCAGGGAGCTGAAGTTGCTGCTCTTAGGTAGGTTTTTATTTTTTTATTGCAAAGGTTGCTCAATTTGACCCTAGTGCACTCAAAGCCAAACTGTTAGACGTGATTGTACGGTGCAGCTTGCACATGCAAAACATTGGAACCACAATGGCACAAGCCACATTACTCAGGCCACCGCAGGATTTGTTTGGGAAGTGATATGCAAAAATCTAAAATCACATGCGGTTCAAAAAGCGCTACTCCTGCAGAACAATGTGAGTGGATTTAAACTGGGACCATTGAATATTAACTCATCTGAATCAGTTTGTGATTGATTCTCGATGTAAAGATGTTTTAAAAAGCCATTTTAATTGATGAATTTGTTTATTGTAGTGGCATAACCTCACACTGAGTCTGAGAAAATAAGGCATTTTAATTTGAGGACTGTGCCTTGAACTTAGATTTCTTTGTCATTTTGTTTACACAAGTGTAAAAAAAAAAGGAATTTCAGTTAGAGCAGCTCTGTAAACAATTTAATTTTTTTAAGTGCAGCCTTGAAAAATAATAAAACATATATAAAAACAGTAATATAAACATATGACTGTTAATTTACATTTTAACATCTCAGTTTTTTTAATAATAGATATAATAAAATACAATAAAATAACCTGTTTTACAAAACATTCAGCAGTCTAATGGCAGTGGGGAAGAAACTTGTGGAATCTCCTGGACCTGCAATGGATGTTTCAAAGTCTCTTCTCAGAGGGCAGCATGGAGAACAGTACATGGTGGGGGTGTGAGGGGTCATTGATTGGGCTCAGGACATGCAGCGCGGGGATGAAATGTCTTTAATGGAGGGAAGAGGAGCCCCAATGATCTTCTCTGCTGTTCTCACCACTCTCCTCACATTCTTCCAGTCTGAGGCACTGCAGCCTCCATGTCACATAGTGAGAAAGCTGGTCAGAAGGCTCTCTATGGTGCTTCTGTAGAAGGTGGTGAGGATGGGTGGGGGCAAATAAATGATAGTAATTTGAAGAAAAACCACAGAACCACCATTCTGTTTACTTTAACAGTTTCTTGCCACTTAAAATTAGTAAAGGGGCACTTTATTGGAAATGTATTTATTTATTTATTTATTTTTTTCAAGGTCCTACCAGATAATGCAGATGTTTGACAAGTAATGTTTTTTTCCCCGAATAACATATATAAGTGTTCTGCAAGTCCTTTTGGTTTACAAGAAATTACAAGGTTGCCATTGCTCGACCATAAAAGTATACACATGCAAGTTTTATAACTCAGCAGACACAGAACATTGAAGTGTACACACGTTCACATGCATTTATAGGTCAAAAACGAAAGGTGGTCAGATTTCAAAGTACTTGCTGGTAACTGAACAGAGCAAGAAAGGTTACGATAACAGATTCAGATCTCAGTCTAATAGATTGGTTCTTCAATACTAGATGTCTAGCTTGTTTCCTAGAGGTATAATTCTGAAGAGACATCCCTTTTAAAATAGGAAAGTTAAAGCAACCTGTTTTTTTACTGAGAAGCATGTAGCTATACAATAATAGCTACCTGCCTAAATTGAGATATATCTACATTTGAATCAACAGTAGAAAAACTTTACAACTACTGGACTTGTGATGAGTAAGAAATAATAGTGAAAATCTTGTCACTAGAAAGAGGACAGCAAGGTGAACATTTCTAAGAACGTCTTCCTGGAATTATAAATTCAATGTTATAGCTCAGGCATGGGCCAGGCTGACAGTCAGGTGGTATGATGATCTTGGCATTAATACCACAGTTTCACACTATTATTATTATTATTATTATTATTATTATTATTATTATTACAGTTCTATTTCTGATGTGTTTGAATTAAAGAGAACAAGAACATATTAAATACTGAATTGTGAGTTGATCATCAGCATACCAGCTACAGCATAGTAAATAGTAAAAAAAAATATAAATAAAGTAATATTTTTAATTTTCTCTTTATTCCACTAGGGTGCTAAATGCATCAGTATTTTTATCATCGTTTTTTTGTTGGTTCTGTAAAGGCACTTTGATGCCCTCCCTTGTCTGTAAAGGGTGCCATTTACATTCATTTTCACTAGATTGTCATAATTCATTTTACTTGTCAATGATAGCTGTTTTTAGATCACAATTGTAGTTTCTCTTTTCAGGCTCTCACTCTTCTTTAAGTGCGCAGTGATATTTAGGATTTTTGGCACACATACAATGCATTATTCATTAAGAAGCAAAAGGAATTACAAGCATGAAAGAATATGAAAAGAATTTGTGTTGCTACAGCTATAGAGGGTTTTGACACTTTCACTTCACACCAGTGAAATGCACAACTTGAGAGGAGAAGTTGTGACCACACAATCATCAAGCCGTGTGCCTCTGTGACCCAGTGGTATTTGTTACACAAATGTCTGAAGATAAAGGTAGCTTGTTCATTTAAAGGCTAACTTTACCTTTAAATGTACGGTGATGTATGTGGTGCAGGTGATGCTGCAGCTGCTCGCAACCGAAGTGTCTCTGAGATTTGTCTTTTAAAAATACTTATACTTCAGGAACGGTATTGAGGAAAATTATTACTGTTTATCTTGTGATTACCACTTGGCAAAGTATATTTTATTATTCCCCTTCAACATTACAATAGATTTATGTGATTTCAAATCAAAAGAGAGTTAATTTGTAATTAAGTCTGCTATAAAGGAGGAAGCTCTCTGTAGGTAGTCTGCTTTGGGAAGGAACTGATGCCATAGGAGTTAGGCTAATTTGTAAATTAAAACTGGATTAAAGCCTTGTGAGCTTTGTATCAATTGTGCAGTCAAAAGTTAACATTCAGGCTAAACTAAGCGAAACTTAAAACATGCATGATCACGTCAAAGAATACATAACCTGGTCTGGTTTGTTGTCACAGGTAACCGAATGAATTTATTTATGTGATATAGTGTCCCTGTCAGGAGCCGAGGGAAGACTTGCCAAAATGGCAAAATGCTTTAAATGTTTCTTCTTTTACGCTGGTCAGTTTTGTAGAATAAATGTGTGAAAGTTTGAGGTGATCTTGAATTGCATTTACTACCAGGTGTAGACTGCTGTGGCTATGTGGAAAGCTCCTGAACAGTTGAACCAGTTATGGAATGAGTTGTGCGGGTACCTCCTAAGTAACTCATTTGAAATGCTGAATCTTGTTGCCTGACGAGTATGTGATCAAGCCTGTTTCGACTTCTTACTAAAATTATCCGGAACAGTAGAGCAATAAATTTTTGGCATTAATGCAACACAATTTTTTTTCATTCTCTCTTCTACCAACAAGCTACAGATTGATTTTACTTAGTTTTTCTCTTTCCTGAAAAAAACAACAACAAAAAAACAGCTTTAGGGGTGATATTTCTGGTCTTCTTTGTGATAAAGTTCTGCTCCCCAGCAGACCTGGTCATTATGTGTGGATGGCACCTGTTGGGCAGCTGAGAAAAAGTTTTCTGGGGATGGTATTACAGGAGTTTCATTTATATTAAGTTTCAGTAAAGATTCTCATGGTTAGCATAGATATCTAGATTTAATCAGGGAACTTGCAGAGAAACCCCAACGTAGAAGACAAAAGGTAAATTCCTCCTCAGTTTCAGTGTTTGAGGCTCCAGTGTCTTTGAAGCGCTTGACACATCTAATTGAAGTTTTTATTGCAACTTCATAGCCCAGCCATTTACCTGGTGTTGAGTCTATGAAAGGGAAAGAACAAACATATGCCTGCTTCAGGGGTTTCTTCAAAATTAAAGCTTTTAAAGACAGTCGAATTCTGTAGTTACAAGCTGTAGGGTGCCTCTCATCCAAATTCAGCTCTTGTAAACGATAGCTAATTAAAATTCTCTGGCTCCACGTAAACCCTTCTTCTTTAAAGCAATTTCAATGAGTTGGTTGATACAAGTCGTTTTAACCATAATAGTGAAAACTGAGTCAGCTATCCAGTGACCTAAAGTGCTCGACAGCCTTGAATGAAAAACAATCAACTGGTTTTGTCTGTTTCTTAGTCAAAATCAAGGTAAGTTTTATTATAATTTCTGTAAAATATTGACAGATCAGTGCAGTGTCAGGGCAAACCACTCGATTTAGCGAACAATCTACGTTCCCACCCTCACCTATGGTCATGAGATCTGGGTAACAACTGAAAGGACAAAATCACGAATACAAGCGGCCGAAATGAGTTTCCTTCACAAGGTGGCTGGGCACAACCTTTGAGATCGGGTGAGGAGCTCAGTTTGCCAGGAGGAGCTCAGAGTAGAGTTGTTGCTCCTCCACGTTGAAGGAGCCAGCTGAGGTAACTTGGGCATCTGTTCCGGATGCCTCCTGGCCGACTCCCTTGGGAGATGTTCTAGGCATGTCCCATTGTGAGAAGGCCTCATGGAAGGACCTGCTGGAGGGACTGAGCTGAGCTGGCCTGGTGTCGCCTTAGGGCTCCCCCTAGAGCAGCTGGAGGAGGTGTGTGTTGAAGTCGGGGCATCTTTGCTTTGACTGCTGTCTCCGCAACCCGGTCCATGATAAAGCGGAAGAAGATGGATGGATGGGTTGTAAAATTTCCTCATGTACAGTTATGATTTGCCAAAAAAAAAAAAAACAGTGTAACCCCTTACTGTGATCTGGCTAAGTGGTTTTGGAAGGACAAAATAGGATTTGCTCCTTGGGTTCATCCATGCCCTTGGCACAAACGATGCTTTAAAGGGAATTCTAGTGTGATGTCCAAAACACAGATTACCGCAGATGCATTGTTTTTTTTGTTTTTTTTTTGTTCCATTGATCCATCAGTTAAAGATGGTTGATGCTTACTCGTCAAAATACTCAGATGAACTTAATTGAGCTGCCATCGTATTTTGAGTGTATTTTTCTGAATTGCAGTTTAATTTTCTCTTGGTCTTGTCTGGAGGAGATTGATCAATCAGTTTGAGAAAATGTATACATCCTTTTAGATTCCGCTTTTTGTGTCTGTGCATTTTTAGATTGGTAAGACTCTCAATATACCTGCTGCTTCATTTGAACAAAATCTC